AACAAATGGTAAACACCACAGCGTACACTATTGAGTTATGGATGCACTTGGGAGGTTTGCTAAGCACTCAAGAAGCTAGAGTCGCTCTCGCCTATCGCCTCGAGCGACTCTTACGCTTCTTTCGTGCTTAGCAACCTCCCGCGTGCATCCATAACTCAATAGTGTACGCTGTGGTGTTTACCATTTGTTTTATAACATAACATTGATACATTGTAGCTAAAGAGTTCCCTTTTATTTAACAAATCTTACGTGACCAGAAAAAACAAGCGCGCGCGGAAAAATAGTCTTTGCATTTGCTCACGTCAGCAGCGTACACCCATGGGCAAATGGGGGACGCTAAATTGACCAATCAGAGCGCGCGCTTTACTTTGGTTATGTTAAAAAGTTTCTTTAGAAACTTACCCCCTTTGCAAAACTCACTCTGTTCTACTTGAGGTTAAGCAATTTATTTCCATTGCGCAATTTATTACGTGTGGAAGGTCTGTAAGGAATCTGGCATTTTTCGCGCCACAACCGTCCCAGACCCGTTGCAGACCACTCACACTCTCGTTTCGCTCGCCTGTTTGTAACACGTACGCTTTGCCGATCTTTTCGCAGTACTAGAGCCTGCTTGTAGGCTAATACTAAATAGGAAAACAAACGCCGGTCTGTTCGGTCATTGATCTCGAATAGCCAAAATGGAGCGAAATTTGCAACCGTCACGGTTCGTTCAGTTGCAAATTTCGCAATGTAATCGAGTGATTGATGTTTGAAAGAATCTACAAAATAGCCCTCTTAAGACTAAGATTAAGTTTCTTTTCATCCTATGATTATTTTTAAGCATTTTTGTTTTAGTTTTATTGGCCTCATGTATATCTAAAATACTTTAGAACACTATTTTCCATTTGATTTACAGCTTCTACTTCCTCTGCATCTGAGTTGAAAAAACAAGCTCTTGGAAGATCTAACAGTGTTGGAATTATCGAGAACATTAATACAAAAGCCTTTCAGCGTTCACCCCTGGCCGGCGAAATACACTACGGTAAGAGAAAACGCAAATTAAAAATAGAAACTGTCTTTGAAAGTAGGAGATAATTGCTTTGCCGATGGTGGCCATTACGTGTACCGGGGCCCGTTTCTCGAAAGTCACGGTAACTTAACGGACCCAAGCAATGTTTTAAAATCAAAATTTAAAGGATAGGAAAGTAGGCTCTGGCACCCACGCCAGTCCTCTTTGTTTGTTTAACTGATAGTTATCGTATCATTTCCAAAACTTGTGAAATCCCCGTCTTGAAAGAAAACAGAATAGCTTTACGGGCCCGTTAAGTTACCGGGACTTTCGAGAAACAGGTCCCTGGTCTAATAACAATTTTTTTTGACTCGTGTAATAACCCTTCAACACACTGGGGTGTAACCACGTGGCGCGTGGCTATGCCAATAGGGAACGTTTGCCTCAAAGTGGGGTATATATACTACGGTGTACAGCAGGAAGTCGATAAGGGCGAGGGGTTATGAAATCGCCTCATTTCTCACGTTACACTTGCTATTTACAAATAATTGGTGAAATATGATATGTTATTTTTACTGGCAAAAATAATAGTGAAAACAAGGCGAGCGTGATAACGATGAGTTTTTGTTTGATCGAGTCAATTATAAGGATTAATTAATTAAGAGCAGTTTTTCATTAGTGTTCATTTCTAGACTTGTCGCTCATTTAAGGCAATGTACCCTATATACTGCCTTGGCTTGCAAAGGGCAAGATTAGTTATACCTTTTCGTTAAATCAATGAATTTCATTTCGGTTTCATGAAATGTATGAAAGCAGGAGCCCACGGGCTCTTGATCAAAGCGATCCTCGCAGTAATAAACCCTACTTATGTAGTAGTGGAAATAAGGCCTGAGGAGAAATTCAAGCCCGTACGGGATTTGAACCCATGACCTCTGCGATACCGGTGCAGTGCTCTACCAACTGAGCTAACAAACCAACTGGTTACTTAGCAACGTTTGAGTTGCTTTGCAGAAATGATATTTTAAACCAGCAGAGCTATTTTTAAGCTAAAGTAGTATTTTTTACGACGAGAAAAACATTTGTTGATTTTATACCTCAGCATGATATGCAAAGATAATCAATTTTGAATTATCATCGCTTTCCAGCGCGGATAATTGACGCTGCATGGACACTTTTTTTCCAGCATATTCCACTTGATTTTTTAATCGTGTAAACGGAAATGAAATAAATGCTGAAGGAATTGTACAGGTCTCCACTCCACCCACGTACCACCCATTCAGTCGTTTGAGCGCCTTATCTGACTCGCAAAGACGGATATCGATTATCATTTAGAGGGCCGGAACGACCAGAAATGTTATCAAATGGTTAACATAACCAGCCATTTGATTGATGTTATTTACTGACGGCGGTATGTAAATGTCTGCTCATTACTCTAAATGTTATCTTTTATCATCGCCTGGGCGAATATTATCACAATATGGCAAAGTTACATTCCAAATGGATCTCGATAGCCCGCCTTAAACTGGTTCAAGTAATTAACATTTGGCTCAGAGAATGCCATGTAAAGATGTGCTTACTGCTCTGATCTTAACTTTTTGATGATCAAAACCTGCCAAGAAAGTCTAAGCTCTTTCTATGGATTTCGCGTGACGAACTAATCGGCATATTTTTTGCAGTTTAAGTGTTCCCCTTTTGTTCTTAATTGCTGTTTAACGATGTTGCGTGGGTCAGTTAACGTAACTTCGATTGGTGCAAAGTCGTTGCACTTGTGGTGTGGAATTAGCAATTGAAAGCAGGGCTTTTTGCAAAGAGTAATAGCTTTTAACTTTTTGTTTAAGAAGTGATGTTCTTCCTAGACGCTTAACATGTTATCAGACTATAGCTAGCGGTTTTGCGGTCGAAGTTTGATCGGCACCCAGTTAAGCGTAAATCACGCAATTTGTGTTGGAAAGTTTGTCAGCTACTCGGTAACTTAGCAACGATAGTCATCGTTCGTTTTTATGTTCACCTCACTGAACCTCTTACTCGAAGAAAAAACTCTTACGGGCTAGAACTGGACTAAGTTAGCGATACATATTGGCGCAGACCTAAAGATTCAAGACAGGGCGGGGACAGGTTGTGTCATGCGTATTTGTACGCCTTGAGTGAATTTGAGTGGTGCTCTTTTCCCCTCTTTTATTCGTTTGCTTTTTAGTCCGGGGTTTCTTTCCTCAAGGATCAGTAGCATCGGCCCTGTGTAAATTGTGCAAAATGGAATTGTGTGATCTACTCCTTTAATAGGTTGAAAATAAAGGCCACGGGGTTTGATATTGTTATGACAATTGCCTTATCAGTTAAAAGGATTTTTGCAGAATGCACTATGTGATATTGCTTTATGGTCTTTCAATCCGATTGATAGAATAATCTAGAAAGACTTTCTCAAGAGGGCGCTTTTTTTGTGGGCAATTTGCCATTGCTGTCTCCATTACTTCACAACTATCCTGTTGCTCATAATGGCGAAGTCATACCGTGTAACTTAATTCAGCTGTTCACTTGTATTGCGTTTTTCCTCGGGTAGACAAAGTTAGTCTGAGCGGCTCTATATAAAATGGAAAGCGCACGTGTCGGTCAATGCATCTACGACGCTCTCGGTGCCTTATTCTTCTCATTGAATGGCATCGATCACGCCGGCCACAAGAGCAGTCTCCTTATTGGCTAAGTAAACTAGCGCACTGATCTGCCGACAGAAAAAAGTCTCAAAAGGAATTAACCAAGACAACATGAAGCCATTTGTCTGAAGGAAGATTTTGGCTTGAAAACGAAGCATTATAGGATAAAGTTTATGTAATAAGTCTCTACAGCTTAGTCTCCCAGTTCACAGAGGTGAGATTTGTCATCGATTGGTTTTATTAGTCACAACAATGTTCCTTTATTTTTGAGCTGTGAGATCTGAGTAAGACAAAAAGACAAAATCCGATTAACTCTCAGCAGAATCTCCCTGTGTTTTTGAGACCCCGCTATTGCATTGCAAGCGCATAGCCAGACAACAACATAACTAGCTTATCAACCTCTGTATTGCTTCAAAATAGCCTTAATTCCGAATTAAACCTTAATACTAGTCGCCCAAGACTTATCTCAAATCTTCCATGTATTATAAAAGAAAAAACTGCTTGATTCTTTCCATTCACTCGCGCGGGGTGTGGCTTATTGCCCTGTTAAAAGCCGATCTCTTCACGAATAGCGTTATAGTTTTAGGTTTATTTGTTTAGCCCCGATTTTACCATTAATTTGTCTCGTGCTGTTAACTCATTCGTCGCCTTAAACTGTAATCTCTGGCTTAAGAGATCAGAAACCGATCGAATAGGAAATATTTCATAAAACATTTCTTTTCAGGCCTATCCATTCGATATTTGTTATGGGGTAACGGCTTTTACACCTGATGATTAGAATTTTGGCCATTTAACAGCTGACGGCTAAATTTTGTTTTGCCTTTTTACGGCTAACGGATTTACACTATTGAGACCCTCTTTTAATAATTAGCAAAGAATCACCCCTGAGTAGGGAGGTTTGAGCGACCCCTTAGGCCCCCCCCCATTTTTTTCCTACTACTGGAGAGTATAATTTTTGCTCTCTTGTTTTAAAAAATTAACTTTATAAGAGTGATCAGCATTGTAATTCTCTTCACACTGATACCGCTGAATTATTTATTAAGATGAATAAAGGCTGATAGTTTCGAAAGAAACTGTTTGGGACTGCGTCTGTGGGAGTAACGAAATAATTTCGACGAAGGGCTAACGCTCGAAACGTCAGCTTTTGTAATCATTACGGTGGCCAATTTACCATTTCAACTTTACGTATATGTGCACGATCCTTCGCAGTAAAGCACTATTTGAGCAATAGTGAAAATCAGACCTGAAAAAAATTTTTCAGGCCTGTACATTTCAACTTTGTTGATATATCCAAATTATTTATTAAGATGATGAGTAAAAAAGGAAATAATCACCCACTTTAACCTTCAAAACTTTGATCGTTTAAAGAACTCACCTTGTTGGTACCAAACAAATGTATAGAGAACAGTATAGGGAATTCAGACAACGATGTTAGATTGTAAAGGGTAAAACCAGGTTCGAACCATGGGGAAGTTGTAGTCAACGTGAATACCTGCACAATTTACTAACACAAACGCAAAACAAAATTCCCAAAAAGAGCAATAGATTGGACCAGACTGCGGTAAAAATAGCCATAAACATTTGAAACCACTCCAAACGACACCCAATACCTGCCGTATTGACTTTGAAGGCTTTTTCAATTACCATAAAACATTGCAGACGCCACCGACGAAACATGAATATTCAACGCGCAACTCTCAGCGCAGTGAACTGTGATCCCGACGTGTATTGTTCGCCGTAAAAATATCCTTTGCATCACCGACGAGTGGGATTGTTTGGACCATAAGCACGTTTTAATTACTCGAGCTTCTTTCGAATACAGCGCTTTGGGGTTGTTCTTAGTTACAATACTGTTGAGCGAAATCTATTGAACGACCTCGAGCAGCTCTTCAAGAGTCATCTCTCTTCACCTCTCATTGGTGTGACTACGTAGATTCAGGTGAGTTGAAGTGATTTAGGAAAACCGCGAGAAAGAATGGCATCGTACGGGCGTAGTTTTGTTAGCTATGCGAGACATGTCGGCGCAACGAGTCGCTAAATTTTTTTGAGTACAGTCGTCCGATATTTCCTGTTGATGCCATTGTATGCGCTTTTACCGTCCAGCGCGACAGTGTGGCCGCTCGGCACGTTTCAAATCGAGCATTTACAAAAACGTCCCGTACTTGCCACCGATGAAAACGTGGTTAAATTTGTGTGGTTACTCGACAGTTCCGACAAGGACGCTTAAGTTCTAAAACTCTTGGATAATCCTAATGTACAACTGACGTTTGAAGAGGTTATAAATATCCCTGCAAGTCTGGTTTGTTGGCTAGAATATTATTTGCCTTCTCTGAACTTCGTTACCACGATATACATGTAGCTAATGTTTTTGGATTGAGTTGTATGAATTATCGATCAAATATCTAACTTGGTGAGGCTGGAATCCGCACTTTCAGGTCTATGTTTTGCTGTTTATGTTTTTCTTGTCATTTACGATCTACGCCCAGCGCTGTAAGCAATGATTCACGATCGTGTGAAAAATTTTTAGATGCCTTTTTGTTCTTTAACAATATGACGTGTCAAAGAGCAACATGCTTTTAGTTTTTATTACGATCAGGCCAACGTTTCTTGCAAGTGAATTTTCGCTTTCTTCCATGAAAGGAACGACATCGAAATTTTTAGTCGATAGGAAGTGAAATTGAAAATCACTTGGGCTGAAGGGTTTTGGGAAAACTGCAGCTCTCATTATGCAAATACACCAATAACGCATTGAATTAGGGTACTCGTGTTTTGATTTTCAATTGAAATATAACTTCGCAATTTCAAACTTTTTCGTGAGAAATAGGAAATAATTTCTGACTAAGACAGAATTGGGTATTTCTCTATTAAATTAAGGAATGAAGCTTTTGTGTCACTATGATGGGTCGGCCCATCACTCATATTTACATCTGTGGCGCTGAATAGTTGCTGCTGTTCCTAATTGAGTCGCAGTTGGTTGTCATTCATGAACGGGTGTAGCTTATAAAACACAAACGGAAATAATTGAAATGGAAGCAGCTGTAATTCAGATGACCCGTTCGTGGGAAAAAGCGTGACGCGTGCTAAGGTAGAATCGAAAGTTGACGTGAATTAAGTGCAAACCGAAATTGACAAGTGACATATCTTTTACCCCTTCGGTACGGAAGGTCAGATATGTATTTTTAAACTCGATTTTGTTCTTCATCGTTGAGTCCATGATATCTCGTAATTTTTAAAGTAGCTTAAACCTCATAAAGCAACGATATTGGTTATATCAGACACTTATACTCCGGTGTTGAACGTTAAAGCCAACTAAGCACCTGAGATTTGGGATTTTTCGCCCGCGAAGTGCTCTTGTGGATGCTTCATAGAACGTATTTACCAGACAGCGAAATAATCCTGGTGTTTACTCAAGCTGCGCTTTGTTACAACCTCGTTTGTTATGATTTTCTTTGGAGTCGAATTTGTTTGCGAAACAACAGCTTTCGTACACAAACTGACTCCATTCTCTCGGAAACATGACATTAAATGAGTAACCAGGATCTGTGAGGGATTTGTGTGGGATTTGTGCGCATGTTGTCGAAGCTGATAGATCTGCGCAGCAAAATATTGGAACAGTGTCGTAAATTCATTTTATTTATATTTTACCCGTTAGTGATCGCACCTTAAGTGTAAACGCAGTTGAATATGTTAATATCCCTACAAGAAACACGTTTAGAGGTGATCGCAGCGGACCCTAGAGAGTAGCTTCGCTTTCTCCTTGCTAGCCACGCACGCGATGTCACTCCAATATTTTATCGTAGGTCAAGAATGAGTCTCATTAGTTACCGTACTAAAAAGCCTGTTGGTTTTGTGGGTCTCCGTTCTAGATGCGTCCAAACGAAACAGCTGTTTTGAAATAAGATCTAACGAGATGCCAAAGAGATCTACACCAGGCGAGCGCGAGAGAAAGTCGTCCTCTCGTTTATTCCGTTCGATGTCTTTGAGCGGACGCAAACAGACGAATAAAGAACAGCCAGCTGGCGACGATAAGAGGAATTCGGCTATTTCTATTTCGGATAATGAAAAGGTCACCGTGCTTATGGATCACAACGCGCAGCTTTTAGACGAGAAAAACAAAGCTCTGGACGAGTGTGATAAAATGAACAAAGATCTACTAGATGCTAACGACAAATTAAAGGAGGCCGAGCGAGAGATCGAAAATTTGAAAGACATGCTGAGCACAAAGATAAAGCAAGAATTTGATAACTGCGAGGTGGATGCAGGAGATAAAAGAACTCGAATGTCTTATAGTGATTTCGAACTAGAACCTCTGGAGACAAAAGACAATGTGGTTTTTCCTTCTAAAGTTGAACACCTCGAGACCACCATTCAAGCAAGCGCTATTCCATTTCAGAAGTCTTCTTCGTGTAAGGAGTGCGAACGTTTAAAACAGTCTCGGATCAAAGCTGTCGTGGAAGCTATCGCTCTAAGGAAATACGTCAAAAATCTGAACGACGCTCTTTCTGGTGGCGATGCGGGTAAACAGAACTTTTTGAACGACGTTCAGAAGAAACTCATTTCTGCACAAACTGAGAAAGAGGTCGCTCTGGAAGAACTTGCAACTGTTATTGATCAAAGGAATCAAGCAGTTAGAGAAAAGGACAGAGCACTCGAGGAATGGGGAAAAGCAACGGGTAAATGGGAGAATACTTTGGACCAGTTAGATTCCCTTGTGAAAGAAATGAATAAGGTAAGATGTCTACAAATCATACCTGTGTTTGTTTGCGTGTGATGCGCGCGCGTTATCATACACGCACACTCGAGATACAGTTTAAGTCAAGTCCCTTTGATTCGGTTAATCGCGAAAAGAAGGCACTCATAAAAGTTTTAATGACGTAGAGAAGGATTTGATTTTAAAGGATATCAACGATCCCTCTTCAGAGTTTTTTGGTTATAAATTTTAGACCAGAGAGAACTGATTGTTTGTAAAGTGGCATTAACATGGGCATTTTTTCCAAGGAAAATGTGGCGTTAAATTCAAATTGCTAGCTTTTTCTTATGTGTTTGAACTAACAGTGCAAACGAAATGTAACAAAGTATTAGTAGTTGCCGAAAATGTAAATTTGTATGACCGAATGATCAAACCGTGTCCAAAAAGATCTGACAATGTCGAAAAAAGGTTTGCGAAGAAAGTTCACTCAGTCCTGATTTTCTCCAACCAGAAAGCTCGTCTTGGAAGTGCACAGCTATAGATTTTCCGTTTTTCGTTATCTGCTATTTTGTGCATAGACGAATATAAGAAACACTTCAGGTGATCTTTGAAGTATGCACAGGTCGCGCGGTTTACTTTACGTAAGGAAGGAGGAAATTTTCGGTGCAAACATGTGCGCTTGTGCCGTTCAGGAAATGGCCGTCTTTAGAAAATATTGATTGTCTAAAAACCACAGATATATCGTGATTACTGGACCAGTACTGCATCTTCTCACGTACAGAACACTCCAACGTTTACAAGAGAAATTATCAAGAAGTATTTTTTTTTGCTTCGCTAGAGCAAGCACTTGTAGAAGTTCTTTTCTTTACTCGGCGCTCGAAAACAGGTCATTCTAGTTCTAGTCTCCAACGTAGCTGACTTAACATCATGTTCAATTCAACTTTACATTCACCTTGTTTTCCTAATTTCCAGTGTTACTCGTATTTGCTGTTTGTAGATCATCTTGATAGATGTCATGACAAACGCCACAAAAATTCAAAATATTTTAATGACTGTACCGCAAGAATGGATTTCACAATAGGATAACTAAGTTGTCGCTCTTACGTATGATTATCTCACGATCTAATCAGAGTTAAACTTATATGTATTGTTGCCAAACAGATCTTATCATGTACCCTTGTTAATGACTTAGAAAGAGCGCAAAGACAGCGTGATCTTTTCCTTTGGGCTTACTAAGGTCTCGTGGCTTTTGATATTTTGCCTCGGCGGGGGATTCCTTTGGTACTGATGCTTGAAAGAAAGCACGCACAGCTTTAGATGTATATTTGAAAACAAAATAGGGGTTGTATTGACAAGTACAATATATTTCCTAATATTTTGCCACGTATCGGACGAGTTATAAATCATTAAATGGCGATAGGCCAAAATTATACTAACGGTTTGTGATCGATTTATCATGGTCGTTTAATTTGTCAGTCGTAACGAGATTGTGCATACCAAACGGTTTAGCCTGAATCGAAAGCAAGCAAATTGAAATTGTGGACAAAAATGTCCAGAAACGAATCTTGAGCGAGTGATGATTGATATTACCGCAGTGGGTAGATCAAATATTGAAGGAAAAAAAATGGACAAAATGTTGAAATGGCTTTGCAAGAAAAACAAAGACAACAGAGCCAGTCCTAATATGGAATGTAAAGACACCTTGCGCACTCTTAAAAACTCCAGATGCTGGACTTGCTTAATGCATGAGAGCTCTAAATAGGACTTTTCCATCGCCCTTCGGTGTATATCACAAACATCGGCAGATATCATTACCCTAAAAAAGGGGGTTCTTTTCTTGTCTGTAGGGTTAGGCCCTCATTTCTCTGAGATGGGTGAGGATACACGACGGTCCTTTTTCCGATGTTTGGGTTAAAACTGAAATGACCAGATATTTATTTGTCAGGAATTTATTTGAGTACCTCAATAACACCCATTAAAGTTCGCATATAAGCATAGTTTCATGTAGAAAGGAGTTTTTACGGTTAAGAAGCTGTAATTTTAAATCTGGAAGGACATATTATGTCTTATTATGTCTATTATGAGGATATGCATATAGCACATCAGTAGATGAGTCAGTTAGTTAGTTTCTTGGCTACCATCATGCTGGTCGGTTCAGTAACCAGCTCATTTATCAGTGAGAGAGCTATTCTAGAGACCAGCCAGTCACTCAGTCAACTTTGCGGTCAATCAAACAATTAATTTGTCAGTAAGGGTTGCCCGTGGGCAGTTCCGTCCATCGACGGTTCCGTGAGTCAACCAGTTAGTCAGTTGGTCAGGGATTTAGTGAGTCAATCAATGGGCTAATCAGTCAGTCCGTTGGCCGCTAAATTGGTTACTTGGTCAGCTTGTCTGTCGGACAATCGTCAGGGGCCATGTCAGCTACTCATGAGTTTTCCATGTATTTTGTTTGCAGGTGAAAGCAGAACGCGATGATCTAACCAAAAAACTAAAAAGAAAGGAGGAAGCTTTAGAGAGAGTCAGAGAGGAGACATCTTTGTTATCGGAACAGATTGAAGTTACTAAGCAAGATTCAAATGAATCCATAGAAGAAGAAGATGTTACTCCCAGGGACACATTCGTGAACACGGAAACTGCAAGAAAATTGAGCACTGAACTCACAAAGGCTCAGCAACGAAATATTGATATGGACGCTCAAGTAACATCATTGGAAGAGAAATCAGAGTCGTATAAGAGAGAGAGAGACCATGCGAAGGAACAGTGGAGGCAATCTGTGAAGGAACGAAAGAGGTTGCATCGTGAGATTGCAAGTATTGTTCAAGCAAGGGATGAAGCGATACAAAAATGTTTTTCCACCGCAGAACAATTAGAGAAACTGAAAGAGGAGTATAATCACCTGCTGAACCGGTTAGCAAAAACCGGTTTGAGTGCCAATAACACAAGTGAACTATCAATTCCATGTTCTCTCAAGGAGTGTAAATTTTGTGCGGGTGACTCTGCTGGAGGGCTAGAGGTAACACCACATTAGCTTATGGCCAACTGCTTCATGATAGGGAAATAAAATTTAGGCTTTTGAGCTAGAGAAAATAGTGAGAACTATTTCCCCCTTCCCCCCTCTCCGTTCCTTTTCGTCCCTCAATAGCTGTGGCCACCCCCTACTGGGACCAAATGGTCCCGTGGGAGGGAGTTCTTTTTATTTTATCAGTAGAGCCCGGCTCTATTTCCTCCACATGGCCGAATAAAAATTACCAAGTGTCTGATCATAAATTATAGCCTTTGCTTATACATACGCACCCTATTTCGAGTTCGTATGACCTAAAAGCAAGATAGCCAGTACACATGATAACTTCTATCTTATTTTGAAAATTTATAATATCCTTGTGCGTTTAGTCTCCAGATTCGTCGTTCACCGAAAGTGAAGAAATTCGAGTAACTTTAGAAAAGGTATGTTCATATTGTTGAAGACCTCTGTTTGTCACATTTATAGGCGTTAATATCAACTTTTCTGAACGGCATAGAAATTGTCGTCAGGCTGATTTGAAGACGATGGCGACGAGTGCTATAGTGCTATAGTAAAAATGACGTTGGTGGCATAAGTGCTTCTCTCAGATTTTAAACACTTTACACAAAAACATCGGTGTCTGTATTCTCCTTTTATACATTTCAGGAGAATTTGTTTAGCGGTCAAATTTTCTTGGTTTGGGTTTCATTTCCTTTATTCTCCTGGGCCCAGATGTTCGAAGGCCGATTAGCGCTAACCCGGGGTTAAATTTTAATCCCGGTTTCCATATTTCTCTGTTCAAAAGCCGTTTTGGAACAATTTTCCTTTTTCTTTTTAGAGTATTTAATCCCTCAAATTGTAGACAATGGAATTAAACTGAATTTTCTGTTAAAAGCTTTTAGACCTGATATCAAATTTCACACTAAACCTGGGTTATCTGAACCCAGCTTTGAACAATCCGGCCTAGATCTTAATAAATGATTCAGCTGTATTACAGTAAGGAGAAATTAGATACTGGTCGCTGTCACTCTTAGCGCTTAAAGGGTTAACTGACATATCATGAATTGCGTTCTTTACCACGAAAATAGGAAAAGAAGTAAGGGATGTTTTTTCTTGTGATCTAGGATGATCCACTGGACTCCATCAAATTGGGCCGAGTTTCCATGAATGGAAGATCTTTTACTGCTATACTTGATGTGGAAAAGGGGTTAGGGAGCTCGAAGAGCATAAGGTATTCAATGCTAATGCTGGTGTCTCAGTAACTTAATGTTGTTTTGATTTCTTTGATTACGCGTAGTTAATTGATACATAGATTGAAGAGTGTCCTACCCACTGGTGGACTTCACTTTTTAGCAACGTATTATTTAAGGCTGTTCTGCCATATTTAGAGCCTCTGAATGGTAAAGAGCATCTAAGATCACAAAATAGAAAATCGATCGAATTTCGTGAATCAGAATTTGGGAATAAAATCATCTGAAACAGCGCCCTTACTTCTTGAAAGCGTCATGATGAACAGCGTCCTTACTTCTTGAAAGGTCATGATGCGTACCTCCAAGAAGAGTAACGAGCTATGACTGAAGGATATGACAGACCCTCTTCCAATGATACAAATTCCAGCTCTGTAGTAGGCCTTGTTGTTAGAAATAAAATTAAAATGGCTGATGATTATTATTTTGTTGTTTCTAGAAAATATGATGAGATCGTCTCCATCAACGATATTCCAGTGACAGAGACCGACCAAAACCTAGTTAGATCTTTATTGGATGGCGCTCTTAGCTCACTAAACATGGTAAGCTTGGGGTTACTTCTGTGCGATTTCCTTACGATGAAAACATTTGTTTTTGTCGTCCATAGGGTAACAGTTGTAGTACCGCTTGATTGTTTGATATAGCGGGGCGCATTGCGTGCTCTTTTTTCAGTGTAAAATTGAAAGTTTTTCCACTCTGGTCCATTTATTTGGAGGACGGACCCTCCGTTGATTTCACTTTCTGTGCAGCGTGCGTTTTTCTCCAGTTTAACTCGAGCTACCATCACCACTACCTGAGGGAAAAAACAAACGAGTGTTTTTCCAAACAGGAAAAGTATCAAACCGAGTTAAACTGATACGCAAACACAATCAGTGCGGATCTCAGTCAAGGTTGTAACCCTTGAGTCCCCTAACATCAGTTTGCATATTCTACATAATGTTCTTTAGACATTTCCTATAATGCGATCAGGAGAATTCGTCCAACAATTAAGAACTTCTTAGGGTGGTGCTCATTTCCTCTATTCTCGTGACATAAGTGCTTGATTCAGCGGCGACGATGAAGAGAGAAATTAGATGCTAGATGTTAAAGGTTAGGTCTAGGACTGTAGCCCAAGACAAATTGTGGCAATTAATGTGTGCCCCTTTCAGTGTTGGATTACTGTGTTATAGGGAAACATCTGTGACATTTAGTGTCGAGTTTGCACTGCATAGCAGTGGCAAGAAAGGCAAAATGCAAGGAACGGAAAATTTACTTAACGTTACTTAATGTTGTACCTTTAAGTGCAAATATATGATAAATTACGACTTACACACCGTTCTGCTCGTGACGTTTCTCAGGTCCTCAAGCGGCCAATTGGAACTTACCAGTTAAGTTTTGACTTGGACCTCAAAGCACCGAAGAAATCTAAAGTCGGTGAGTGTAGCAGTCACGAGGAAGATCTGCTGTAATTGCACATTCCATTGACTTCTCTGGAAAGTAAACTGCAAAAATACTTTGTCTCACACCTTAGTGAATTCATGTTTTCCTTTGAAAAAGAACCGAATATTTCCTCAAAACTGAAGAAAATTTAACTGATTCGTTACAGTCTATGTGCATGGCAGATGTTTTCAAGGTAATAAGATATAAATTCAAACCAGATATCCCATTCCCTTGCTCTCTCCCAGCTCACTCGTCGTTCCTGACCTATTATCAGAGTCCAACATTGCTGGACTCTGATAAGGAAACATGACTTTACTAAAGATTTGATGTATATATACTGAATAAATATTTGTTCCTGTTCTTCCAGGTCTTGGTTTTGAGTGTGGGTTATATGTGAAAGATTTAAAGCATGGTTTTATTTCAGAAGATCAGAACAATCTGAAAATTGGAGATTACGTCATGAAGGTATTGACTTAATACATTTGATAATTGACATACTGTGGGCATCGGCTTCTAATGTTTAAAGGCTGTGAGCTGCTACACTAAACTGGTCGTAGATGTTATTGGAATTCCAAAATTCAGGCTTAACGCTTAATGAACTCCAACTATAAACATTATTCTTGTTTTATAAATTCCTGCCGAGTGAGAAAAGCTCAAAGCTGAAGCGAAAAATTTGTCTCGGACTTTGTCTCCAAGTCTCTTTGTTTCTTTATTGCCATTAGTATCAGTGCTTATCTCAATCTTTCAATTTTTCACCACACAAATGATGGAATACCTCACTTAGTCGGCTCGGCTGAAAACAGTATCTGCTGGACACTTCGTTGTTGTTGTTTCTGCTTATTTGCTCAAAGAACTCATTTACATTTATATCTGTGGAGATAAGTAATCTTTTTAATTATGTCTTGTTTGTTCATCTAGGTCAATGGAAAACACCTTGATAAAATAATTGCCTCCTCGTTGGAGAAAGTTACCAAAAAGTCTGGAGACAAACTAAAACTTCACGTTTCCAGAAAGATCTCGGGAAAACCTATGGCTTGTGAGTTCAAGGTATGGTCATCTGGTAATGATTTTAGATGAAACGTCTGCAGATAAAAAGTGATGCTTCAAAAAAAATTGTTACGGGCTTGGTACAAAGAAGAAGAAACAGGTCGAGAATTCTAACCACAGCCAGTTTCGATATCTTTTAGGTTTATGTGTTGGGAAAAAAAATTCACAAAATTATTGACTTTTTTCTCGTGACTCCAAATTTTCTTACAACTCAAGTCTTGGGTCCATGAGCTCAAACAATGATTCCTCTCTGGCTGATTCGAGCTCTGATCTCTGTGGCAACAGATTCACTGGGTACGGCCTCTTTATGCCCGAACTCTTTAAAATTGTTGCTGTATTTTTATTACTTGTCGCTTTCTGGCGTCAAATGAACACTGATACTGTGAAGCGTAGCTTTAAGCACCCTCTTGCGTTGGACTTCCCCCAGAAGGTGAACCTTCCTGGAAGCCACATTAAGTTACAATTATAAAATATCGAATTATTTCATATTTTTTTTTCTCGCTTCTGTTTCAGCCCACGAGATACACTGACTCCGAATCTGACACAGTTGTACTAAGACGCCTCTCACGTGGTAATGGCGACAACCGACTGTCACTCGTATCAAATGACAGCTCAATATCTCGTGACTCCAAATTTTCTTACAACTCAAGTCTTGGGTCCATGAGCTCAAACAATGATTCCTCTCTGGCTGATTCGAGCTCTGATCTCTATGGCAACAGATTCACTGGGTACGGCCTCTTTATGCCCGACAGGCATCGAACTCCAACTACCTTTTACAGCCCTTCGTCTGACACTCAATTAGAAACAATCATTGCTGATGATTGGCCGGAGGTAGGGACTGGGAACGATTCTCAGACTTCCACGGACGCAAAGGAAAGCGATTCGCATGACCACAGCACTCTAAAACCCAACATTCGGTCGCCAATGAACCGAAAATTTGTCAGCACGTCGCAATTGCAGTCGGGAACGTTTTTGACGCCGATGGGTGCAGACGGAACATTAGTTCGGGCCCAGTCTACTATCACTGCCGTTCGGGTGGACGATGATGGATTGACTTCGAACTTAACGAGATCCTCTACTTGTGGAACGACTGTTCCTTTGGGAAGAAGGTAATCAGAATTAAGATCTTCTACGAGTCAGACCCTCTACTCCTAAAAATGCTGCATGCAACAGTCAAGTGTGAAATTTTTAGTCAAAACTGTCTGTGAATCCCTTATGGTTGGGCTCAGAAAGCAATTCTACGCTGTGAAGGACCGAATGTTTCACTCGTTCCTTTAAAAAGGTTATATTGAATTATAGTCGGGTATTAGTAACAGTAGCTGATTGTTAAAGATGAAATTGTAATTTAGAATGGTAAATAACGGTCTTCATCATCACCATCATCATCTTTAATAGTAACATCCTCGTGAGGTTTTTCAGAAACTATTTACAAACTTTTTACAATTTATAAATCATAAATAACGATAAAACTCATGGTCAGAATTTAAGATAGTATTCCACCAAGTTCTAGAGCTCATAAAGGAAATTTCTGCCTCAATAGTGTGTCTTGCAGAGGGCGCTTGAAAGATCCCAATGAGGCATTTTGCCTAAGTTCTTTATGCAGAATTTTTTTCGCAAAACGTTTGTTGCACAAACCAGTAACAAAAACAGATCTTAGCAGTCAGCTTGTCACGACCAGAAAGAATCGCGTTAAAATTAACGAAGGTTACGGGTGCATTTTTTTTCAAAGGAGAGATAGCTTACTTTTGTATGTTGCTCACTTTCACCTTGTCAACCTCAAGAGTGAAAAATAAATTTCTTCATACAATGTTCATTTATTTTCAAGCAAAGAGTGACCAAAGGAGAGAAAACTATCACTTCGGGTAAATCATTTGATTTCGCACTGCATCTAATCAAAACTCTAACCAAATTCTCTAACGTGATTGGTTATCACCAGCCCGATTTGAGTACTAATAGGACAGGGTACGCGTCAAGCTTGCAATAGTCCCTTTTGCAGTTGTGGGCCTGGTGGCCAAGCCTTTGAACAGGAGTGAGGCTAAGGGTGACCCTGTTGTGATAGAGACCTGTATCTAGTTAGCATGATAACAAAGTAATTTGCATTTGAAAAGCAGCAACATCTCTATCATAACAAGGTCACCCTTAGCCTCACTCCTGTTCAAAGGCTTGGCCACCAAGCCCACAACTGTAAAAAGGACTATTGGACAGTGTAAAAGGAGAGTAAAAGGGATAGTTAATACGTCATATCTGTGTACGTGGACAGTACGCGTCATGTGCGCCCGCTTTTGCCGTGCATTTCGCCGAGTGAATTGTTGTTGTTTTTATATTTAATGAAAACGTATAACCGATGTCTAGTTTCTTTCTCGAATTTTGTCATAGTTTTGTTTAATTGGTAACAGAACTTCGAGTCGTCCGATTCTGTCTGCAATAATACTCGTGATAAAAAAAAATCGGATTCTCGCCTCGCGGTTGTCCGATTTTCTTTATCGCTCGTATAATTACAGAACGAATAGTCCATTTTACAGTTGTGTGCTTGGTTGCCAAGCCTTTGAATGGGAGTGAGGCTAGGGTTGACCTTGTTATGATACAAACCTCGCTGCCTTACAAATGTAAATAACTTTGTTATCATGCTAAGTAGATACAGGTCTCTATCACAACGAGGTCACCTTCAGCCTCACTCTGAATCAAAGGCTTGGCAACTAAGTACACAACTGTAAAATGGCCTTTTGGACTCCCACTCGTTCGTATTACCAAGATTCATTCTCACATCTATTATAAGAAATGTAAGACAGACAGTGGGGGCAATTGTTGTTTTCTAGATCTTGGGAATAAAAAAAAAGTTAATAACCAATGTCACTTGATTCTTTCCAGTCCTCGTGTAATGCGCTTCGAGAAGAAATCGTTGGATGATCTCGGAGTAGAAGTGTCTGGTGGTTACCGCATTGGTATTTACGTCATCGAATTACAAGAAAACTCAATCTGCAAGGCCGCTGGCCTCCAAGTTGGAGATAGGCTGCTGAAAGTAAAAAAGATGATGAATTTTTTTTTTCTCCTCCCTTTTGTAAGGTGGTGTTTTTATTTGACAATTTTTTTCTTTACCAGGATGGCTTAACTTCGTATGTGAAATCTATGTTTACTACCACAAACACACAATATTTATCAGGAAACTTGTGACCAACATTGTGGAAACTCGTTACATTTAGAATTATCGTCTGGAAAAACTAAACAGATATAAATGCAAGATTAAAAAAATTACTAAAATAAATGCAAAAGTGAATAAGCAAAATAATGAAAAAAAAAAAAAAAACATCAAAAAGTAGATTTGATGTCAGTTTTATGTTTGCCAGGGAAGATTTACTTTATTGCCTTGAATCAAAAAGAAACCTCGACAAAGCTTTGTTGCTATATGAGCTCAATTTTAACATAACTGTTTGACCCCTCCTACTCATCAGCTCAACAGTTACGATCTAACCAGAGCAACCCTGGATCACGCTACACGGATTGTTCGTCTTTTACGCACCTGCACGTATATCAGAATCGAGGCTCAACAAGTCTTAAGTAAGTCTCGCATAACATCCATGATTTTACTACTATTTAAGGCCGTGAAACCCTCTTCTAAGTTCCAACTCAATTTTTGTAGAAGTTTCAGCTGATTTGGAAGGGCCCGTTTCTCGAAAGTCCCGGTAACTTAACGGGCCCGTAAAGCTTTTTTGTTTTCATTCAAGATGGTGATTTCAAAAGTTTTGGAAATGATACAATGAAACTATCAGCTAATGAAACAGAAGGGACTGGTTTGGGCGCCAGCACCTGCTTTTTTATTCTTGAAATTTATATTTTAAAACATGGCTTGGGGCCCGTTAAATTACCGGGACTTTCGATAAACGGACTCCAGGTCCGGGATGGCGACGAAAAGTCCGAAAAACTCGATAATAATTTTCACAACTGTCTGAAATGAACTACTGTAAACCAGTAGCCACAATTGGGAATAAAATTTACCGCCACACAAAGCTTGATGATGCCTCTGAGCTCTTCAAATGACAAGTTTCTCCAGTGAACATCTCATGCTTTCCTCATTCTTACACGTTTCTCACACAAGCATCCGTCCTGGATATATAGGGCAGCTTGATCCAATTTATTGTCGTTCTTTTAGTTTAAATTCTTAAATCGTCACACAAGTTTATGTTTTTCTGTTCAATTCTAATTAAGCGATTATTCTTATATTAGATTACGAGGAGATCCTCGGAGACAAACCTTACGATTCACTTTATGTTAGGTGGGTAAATTGATAGCGTAGTAAAATACTTTTTAATGCATGAAACGATTAAGCTTTTAAATATCCTTAGCTGGTTTAATAGTAGGACGACCGAAGTGGGGTAAAATTACGAGAGCAAATCACGCTGCTGGGAGCCAATCAAATAGCGTGATTTTGAAATGGTTGTATCTAATGACAGTATTTCCCTCACCTATCCACGCTGTCGATGTAGGAATTCCCAGTTGGAAGGAGTTGCTTGACATTTTAAGTTCAAGGTAACGAGATCAAAGATTCAGTAGAAGTATGCAATTAGTTAGCTGATGATTTAAAGGGGTTTAACTCAGATCTTTTTTCGTACAGGACAATTCACCCATATAAGGCAATGGCTCCAGACGAGCTAAGTTTTACTGTTGGAGAAACATTGCACGTGATAAACACGCGTGCAAATTACGACCAGGCGAGACAAAGCTGGAAGTGGGTGGCTCAGCGTGCCAGGAAGGACGGGAAGGTTCTTGAGGAAGGACTGGTGCCCTGCATGGGAAGGTAAACAGAATTGATTATCTCACTTACAAGAATGCAAGCCAAGAGTCAATGGAAGACTGAAGGCAACCTCAAATGGTACATGTAGAATTGTCTTCCTTTAAATTGGTGGCAACCTGGAGTAATAACGATTTTTTGACAATTTAAATTGGCTGTGTCTACGTGGAAGGAATAACTGGCCTATCAAGAAAAAATTGTTAGGGAAGAAAGATAGGAAGATTTGGTGTACGGTTAGGAAAAGTAAAACAAACCATTATGGATTAGGATACAAGAAAAAAAAATTATGATTAAAAAAAATATATATATCTATTCGGGGAAATTGATTTTAAATTTGACATCAGACGCAATAGTAGTTTTCATTCTCATCTAACTTGCAGAAGCAATGATTTACATCTTCCTCGCGTGCATACCAATTGGGGCAAGCAAACTTTCATTTATCAAGCCTCTAAGGACTGGAAAAACTTAGACAATGACATTAAATACAGCAAATCATTGTCCCTCTTTAAGGCAAAGCTTAAAAGTTTGTAACTAATGCGCTATCTCATTGTTGCGTTATTTAAAATTAATTTAATATTGTTATATCAATTTTTTTTTCCCTCGGTAATTTTATTATTTGCGGGACCCCACTGAAAACCGCCAAGGCGATTGGGCTCCCTGGATAAATATCATCATCATCATTATTATTATTATTATTATTATTATTATATTAGTTCTAACAGGTTGAAATCTCGCGACAAAATTGATCGATGGCATTGTCAAAAATACAAACACACGTGCATACACCTTGACGTGACTAGTTACAGTATTTCAGCCGGTACCACAAATGTTAATGATTTTTAACTTAAAGTTAACTCGTTGTAAGTCAACTGGCCAGTTTTAATCATTTACTTAATTTTATACCGATATCTTCAGTATTCCAGAACATGTTGAGTCTGCAGTCCTGACACAAACTCTTCAGCGCTTTGAATCTGAGTCAGAGGAACAAATGAGTGACGACGCACCATCCACTTTGAAGAGAGCGTCAACTGAACGCCGAAGTATCATACAGCGATACCGCAAGCTCATGAAACGCGAGAGTAGAGATTTACCCAACAACACGGACGAAAACGGTAAGAGCATTCTTTGCCAATTACTCATAGCTCAATATTTTCATCACCATGGTATCGACACCGAATATTAAAGTGCCTTTTATCTCGATATAGTATGCTTCAGTTGGCTTTAAATCGCGCTGATACCTCCGCCAAAAGAAGAAAAAATATCGCCGCGCTTTCCCCCTTCATTTTTTTACCGTTGCGCAGGTTCAAATTTCCGCAGTCCTCTTGGCCATTACCGCGTGAAGAGTGTTTCCTTCCTTCTTTGAGTCTTTTTATGACGTGATGGAAGAAGATTTAATTTTCACAGATAAAGTCGATCTCCCGTGATCATCCTTTTTCACAATTGTTGATAAAATCACTAAATATGTCAGAAGTAACTTCATAGTCACATTCTTTGGAATGCCTTTTAAATCTTTTACTTCGTGACTTGCCGGTAATGGCTCGCCTAAGGTCCCAAAATACTCAGTGGTGATGGAGGTAAAGCCAAACTTCAGACCAATGCAGGAACGCGAGGATCTCACCCACAAGGATAATTTCTTCACAGAAAATCTTAAAAGGATAAGAAGACTCCAGACGTTGAATAAAATTAGGGTTAGTTGAACTTTTTAACATACTTAATTTTCTCCCACCTAGGTAACACGAACAAAGTGACTTTCTACGAAATCCTTAGCAAGATTTCAGATTGATCGTCAGCCATGCTTGATCGTTCCAAGAACACGATGGTTACTTTTTTCTTATAAAAGTTTCACTAGGATATAAATCGTTGGCATATTTGTTGATCTGGAATCATCAGAGAATGATCAGCTGAAACGGTGCAGTTCGACGCATTGTCCTCGTTCGACTTGGCAACAGATAGAAGAAAGAATGGTATGACTTAGGAAACTGTTGAAGAGCTACATACTTTACTATTAACTTATTTGTTAGATACCGAAACTCTGTACAGGTAAAGCGCATGTTATTGTTAAGGACTGTTAGCGCAAAATAATAATTCTCAGATCTTTATTCATGTTTTCCTTGTAAAGAATAACATCAGTTAGCCATTAAAATAACAGTGCGAAAAAACAATAACGACGCTGAGATCCATCATTGCTGGTACTCAGAGTAAAAGTAAAAGTTAATAAAAATTAAAAACGAGGGCGTTGAAACGTGCATCAATTTCTATCAAGATTCCTTATGTTCCAGTTTGAAAATGAGACCCTATATTATGGTGTGATTACCACGCAACCAAATTGAGGTTTCTGTAGTCCTCCTGAGTATTTAACAATAAGACCATTATTACGGAAATTATTTGTTTAATGACATAGGTGAATATAGATTATTAGTGTGTAATGAAAGTCTGAGCTATTTGTCTTGAAAAAAATCGCATAGTTACACGTTTGGTACGTAACGCATCCGTTGGGCCTCGGAAATTCCTTAACGTAAGTCATGAATTAGGACAACCGTAGATGGGAAGATCACCAAATATATACCGCATTTAATGAATCTTACTGCGCTTAAAACAGTCTTGACCTCCCATCTCTCTATTCCAAGGATTTTCAAGCTCCCTGAACGCGTGGCTCGTATCAGAGGTATTTAATGTACATTGGATGTGATACTTAGTCGAAGATGGTTATATTTAAAACAACAAACCAGAATATTTTAGAAGATTTTCATGGTTGTTTCAACGCATGATGTCTCCCCTTGATATTGGTAATATAAGAAATGTATGTTGTCTAACCTTAACATAGATAATATAAGAATTTTTTTTTATCAAGGTTACAACTCTCCCATAGAAAGCATATTTTCAATTGGTCATTTCTTATCAAGTTTTGTTTTGATGTTCATTGAGTAAATGTCGGAAAGTGAAATAGACATTTTTTTAATGAACAAGAAGATATCCAAAAATAATTTAAGTTCTTTCTCATAGGTGTATTTGTTCTTGTTTTTCTTATTCTATGGAATACATTAAAAATGAGGATTATTTTTAAAGTGAAGTTACTTCTTGGTGTGTGATGTTGCATTGCTATTGGAGAAATCAAAAGTAGTTAAAAAAAATCGAAACAAAACAGCCAAACAAGCGTAAAAACGAACAATTAAACAGACCAAAGGAAGAACACAAACCAGGACTGTCGTCTTGCAGTGCTGGCTGACCCTGGCGCCTTATTTTCGCTTTTAGGTGACTCAGGAATCTTAGTTTCTTTATAAAAAGCATATGCTGGGCACCCTGAATTTCACAGTTTCAGAGCGCTGGGATCCCTTCAATTTTTATTAGAGCACAGCCTTGTAAACAAAAAAACAGTACTAGGGATGGCGAGCGTCTGCTCGCCCCCAAGTCCTATGGCTATTTCAAAGCATGGGATTCTGCTGTCACTATCGCTTCAACACCGTTCGCTTTTTTTTTTTTTTTTTCCTGTCGGTTAAATTATACTAAGAGTTGCGATGATCGGTCGAAGTTGGCTAAGAATGGCAATGGCGAATGGCATAAGAATATAGAGAAGATTAAAGCAAATTACAGTGAAGCATAAGTTGCAGAATAGGGGCTTTAGTTTTAGAGATGGATCAACAGCGACGTACATAACTAAAGAAAGTGGAATCTTTAACGAAACTTTTTTTTTTATCTGAACATCTTCGAAAGCCATGCATAATCTATAGTTCTTCCCTCGTTCGATTTTGTTCATGAATCAGTTCTTATGAATTTAAAGCAGCATCGCCGGGTGATGATGGAGATGGAAGCATGTTGCTGGTTGCTAACAATCTAGAGATGCAACATTTCAGTAGAGTCAGTTAAGGAGAGGAAGGGTGGTGTAAGGCAGTTGCGCGGCACGATCTTGTGTCTCGAGCTAAAACCACGGAGAATAAAGTTCCTTTTGCCAGTACTAATTTTCAGCGTAAAGTTGCGATTTTGTTATGTTTCTATCGAGTGTCATGATCTTCCAAGCTTGTTAAGGCAAGCACCTAAAATATCCAAGCGATCAGCGTGAAAACTCTGACAAAGAAGCTTAATTAAACGCAGTTATATCATGTCGACAGGCAATAGGGGTCTTTTAAATCCTAAATAAACGCGCAATACTGCCAGTGCTTAAGCTAGAAAAGAAAAGAACTGAAAACCAATGCAAACACACGCATACAGATGAAAGGAAGGATCCTTGAATTCACGCGTTGTTTGCATTTCCAGACAGCGTTCGTTTCATTTAGGCATCGTGTCAAGTTGTCATGAGATGCCCTTTGTTCGAGAAGTAAGAAAAGGTAAACGAGGTAATGTAGCTCTGTATTTTCATTATAATGTACAGCTCTTAGCAGTGAAAGAATTTCAACTATATCGTTGACATAAGCCCAAGGCTATGTCCACAAAGGGCTTATGATTTGGAATACATGCATAGTAAATGTCTGCAACTGAAGGATTTCGCAGAAAGGTGACTAGTTGGACAGAATAACATCACGTCGCGTGGCACGCAGCTTGTTTTCTTGAGCAAAATATCGATCTTTGCCACCGTAAGAAGTTAAGTGGTGACCATTACGCTGGAAAACCTAAAAATGATTAGTTTTGGGGATAGAAAACTTGTCAAACATGACAACACTTGTTGACAAGTCCTATATTGCAAGGAAGCCTGATACAGTATTTTGGAAGCACATAGACGAGTCATCACTTGAACGCTGGGAATTCAGCTGAATATTCAGTATCTCCATATCCTTGAAGTCTAATAGAGTGGATTGCTGCCGTAGCAATTATGGGTGAGTGATACCTAGTTTTATCGTCATGACATGACATTCTAAAGAATTAATTATGCTGTGCATGACACCACTTTGTCACATCTAGCAATTAGAATCGTAACCAAAGTAATATAATTGGTATGTGCGTTATGTTGGTTGGCGAAATTGCCTCAGTGAATTTGCAAATGTGCTTTCCAATTTCATACAGGAAAAACTTGAACTGCTGCACAATTAATTTTACAGAGGGATCCATTTGTTCACCACGTAAGCATGTTTAGTGACGTGCAAATTCATGGAAGTTTTTCCTAATGAAGTAATAGATCTGAATGAAACGACCTTTGGTCGGTAAAAAAGTACAACTCACTATTAGCTTGATATCTTGACAATTTTATGCGACGAAAGTGAATACTGGTTTATCAAATTCCGTTTTTTTGCTCCAGCATGAAGATAGTATGTTTCATCTTCACGCTAGATAATTATTGAATTTTTTTTTTGTTCCCTCATTTTCTCACTTAAACAGTTCCGCTCGAAAAGTCTCCAAAACGAGCCTCGAAAAAAAGTTGCAACTCAATCGTGGCCAAGATTCTGGGGTCCCCTAAGAGAATCTCAAATAAATTGACGGTCTTGTTCGCCGGCTCCGCTTTGCGTCGACTCATTGATGAACAATGCCCTCATTCCTCTGGGCTAATTGCCGAAACCACCAGTTCATTGTTTACCCCGAGGCTCTAATATCGGTTTGTTATTCGGTGTGTACGTCTTTCGAGAATCCGTGCTAATCTAGAGAACAAAAAGATTTTGACTCAATTACTCATTCGATTGAAACACAAGACCACATCGGAACTGTAAATCGAGGTAAGTGTAGTCCTAATCCTGCACATATACAACAGCATCGGATGGAATTAGGTCGAAGTATTGCACAAGAAATTATAATAAACTCCGCACATAACGTTCGAATCGTCTTTTGTTTTGAACCTAAGCGATAATTCATAGAGCTCTCTGAACTGTCACTAAAAGTTGATAGCCGGCGGTGATCGTGATGGTTCACATTTTTTCAACAAAATTAAATTTGTTGATGTTCTAATGAATGGTTTTTCGTTGTATTCATGAACATACCGTGCGTTTTATAACTTTGTTGTGCTAAGAGCTCAGTCCATATGCGTTTACAGGAACTAAATGTGGACCGATTCCAGCGTTTTAAATCTGTCTTGCAATGTTTGTACAGTCCAAATCATTTCAGTGGTTTATTGTTTTATTAGACTGAATTCAAAAGCGACGATCCAAACGTTGTTCAAAATGTTTGAACAGAATGTTTCGATTATTGTAACTTCGTAAAGATGTAAAGATTCAATATTACAGCGAATACTGTCAAAATATCGTCATGATCATAGTTGACGACTTAAGAGAATTATTTAGAAATTTGACAGTGTTTAGTTAAACAAACAAACAGTTCCCTCTTAAAAATTAGTGGGATTCAAAGGGAAATATGCTGTGCTTCTTATTGAAATGAAGGCAAGTATATTCAACAGGAAAAATAATGTACGTCATTTCATAGTTTTACTACGGAAAAAATTCTGATTTTAAAATTTAATACAATTAATAAACGATGTTCATCCTCATTGAGCCGATTAGTACATGCACAAGAAACAATTAATATTTACAAAGAAAGACTTCGAGAGATCATAATTGAAAGTTAAGTTCTCAAAGGCCTCGTCACGTTTTTAGAAGACGCGCATTCTTTGTTGCTTGTAAGAAACCTCAAAATAATGTAAAATAACCTAATTACTCATACCAATCATAGTCTGCAGCCACACTCGGAAATACCTGGTTTTTTGTTCATCCTGTTTTGATGCCCATTCATGTTTACGAAAAAGGAAACAAAATAATGACAGCAAGACATGACCTGTTTCTTTTGTTCAGTCTCGTGCTAATCGCTCTTGTTGTGTCTGACAAAATTAACAACATTTTGGTCTTGTGGGGGTTTATCTTCTGACGGAACAAGGCTGATACTTGCGCACTTTTCAAACAATGAAATTAAACTCAAGTATTAGGAAACTTCTGAAAAATTAAGTAAACAAAGGTGAGAGTATGCGGAGGGAAAAGGAACAGAAATATATTCTGTTCACAGAGCTCTTGACTCGTTTTTACCTTGATTGGTTTCGACAGAGTTCAGATCAGTCATTTATTATCACTGCTCGTGCATGAAATACAAAATAAAGTCAGACCCAGCTTAATAATTAACGTTTGCATTGTTCTTACGTCATTTCAAGTGCATTTCACAAGATAAAGTCCAATGTCCGGCAGACCCAAGGGCAAGGTCATTCTTTTTCTTTATGGAAATGTTCTTTGCCATAGTCCGTCACATTGGCGAATTCATGTTAGTCTTCACTCTGCATTCCACTTATACAATGCAGCTCAACAGCAATTCTGAATTAAGAAATGCGACTTCTTCTCCCCAGGAGAATGCTTTTCACTTACTTGACATTAAATCTTGGGCTAAAGAATTATGGGAAATAGAAGTGGTTTGTTTGTAGTGAGGTAATAATGAATTTGCTTCGGGTCGAAAAGAAAAAACAAACAAAAAAACTTCTGATTGACAAAAGCAATTGAAATCCAAACTCGCGTTCCAAGCCTATGCAAGCTGATAAAAGCAAATTACCCAGGAAATGATGTCCTGGATAATTTGGTCATCGACGGAGTTGATAATTTGGTTATTAACTGAGTTGATAATGTAAATTGGCCACCGTAAAGAGTTTTAGAACTGACATTTCAAGCGGTAGCCTATATCAGATCGAATGTGCATTAACGACCAAAATTGTTATAGAACAGAATGGAATTTCAGAGATGATAATGTCGATGTTGGTGTACCCATCAGTGATTAAAGGAAATTCAAATCTCCTTATCCAAAAAAAAAGATATATAACTAGAGAGAGAATTAAAGACATCCCTTTCGAAGAGAGATTTTCAGATTTTACGGAGACTTCTGTTTAATCGGCAGTCGACAACAACTTGAAGAAGTGTTACTTGCTTATCTTCAGAACAATGAAAATCTCTTTCATTTCCTTACTGTTAAAAGAAAGTTTCGTATGTGTTTCGTGAATGTATTTTTTCTCCTTAGTTTAATATCTATGTATTTTATTTTTCAAGGACTCAGTGAATTAGAAGATTTACGACAACGCTATAGTCGCCTGGAGGAGCTCTATAGCGAAACCGTCAAGGAAAGAGACCTAGCCATCGAGGAGAGGGACAAAGCTACTGTGCTTATTGCCCTTCAGTTACAAAGCGAGACCGAAGAACTGAACAAGCAGATTGAAAAATTGCAAATTCAAAACAGGAAGTTGGACGAAGAGAATCAGGATCTTGAAATAAGACTCGGGTATGCCAAGGATGACCTGAATAAGTTGCAGCAAAGGCACATAGAACTACAGATCGAGCAAGAGAGATGTTTACAAGAGAAAGAAGATGCGTTGGCCAAACTGAGAGAATTTGATAATTTTAGGGATAAAAGCCACATTAATGAATTCATTGATAAACAAGGTGAAGTGAAAATGGCGAGCGGAGAAAAGGTAGGTTGCTGACCGAGCTTTCAATCTACTGGCATTAATAAATTTCATACTTCAACTCTTACAAGCAACCAATACTTAATTTCTCCTAACAATATATATATCTTATTAACCAAGCGCGAGGGCCGTACTGGGAGAATATCGGCCCGAGGTCTTGACTGTACGGACCGAGCGCAGCGAGGTCCGTACAAAAAAGACCGAGGGCCGATATTCTTCCAGTACGGTCCCGAGCAAACTTGGTTAATAAGAGATTTATTATACGACTGAAGTACAAAGGGACACAAGTGCAGTATCATTCGGGACCATTCGGGACGGTGCTCGGTCCAATACTGAGAGAATATTGACCGGCAATAGAGCATTTTGATTGGCTGATTTTAGTTATCGGCCCTCTGACTGCCCGAGTCGTGTAATAAATATGCGTTATCAAGGAAACAAACGATGAGAGTGGATGTACATAACATACAGGGAAGACTGTTTGATTTAACTCAAAATTCTCAGAACTAACCGTTAGAAATGCAAGGCCGACCATTCAGTTATGTGCACCGTATTTTACCTATTTTAGTATAGAACAACATCCTTTTAATGATATGTTTACAAAGTAATAATAATGGAAAAGAACTGCATCACATGATCAGCGCTTGTCCTTCCATCCATTTGGCAAAAAAGTCCAAGTAAAGTGGAGAATACTCTTTACTAAACATGGAAAAATGATAGATAGATAGAAACTACTATTGACTTATAAACTTAAAACTGCAGAAGCCCGAACTCAGAAGGAAAAGGGGAAATGTCATGAGACACCGTGGAATTCGATTTATAGCCAGTAGAAAATAATTTAATACTTTAAAATGAGTTATCTATATTCGAGAGAGAAAGGTTCCGTTTCGTTTGACCAATTGCTGCCAAAATTACTCTAATTTCTCTTTTATGAGTCGTGATTATATCCTGTCTTCCTTGTGAAATTAACCGACGAGACCAAGAGCCGTGACAATGTTTTTAAGGGCTAAATTCCTCAAACGTTTTGGAGGTCAAATTGGTCTAAATGATTTACAAAAGAGAAGTAAACAGCTTAATTTTGGAAGCCAAACATTTCTCAAAAATGGCGTATTCCGTGAGCAAAAGATTGCTTTGAGCGTAAATTTCTTAGTAAACTTAGCAAATCAAATCAAGAAATGGTCTCCCGCTCGATTCACGGCTTTTCAATTTAACAAGAATCAGTGATTGAATTATCCCTTTTTTTTCATTTCCCAACGGTGTGCTCTTTTGTTCACGGGCGAAAACGTTACCACAATGCATTCACTGAACCGTGCGCTGTTTTTGTATCCGTGTGATTTGAATAGTCAAGCGCCAGTCTCTCGAGCAAACAAGTCAATTTTGCTTTGGGAACGTCGTAAAAAATGTGGCCCAACATCGATTGGTCGGATCTCAGTTTAGTTTCTAAATCTGCTGTAAGCGACGAGGTTTCTGTAGCGTCCGAAAATGAGTTCCACAAGCTACCTGCCGTCTTTTGGTAAATAACGTAGAGATGCACAAATTCTTCGAACAACTGAGCACGATATTTGAGGTTAGTTTCTTCTTTTAAATCAATTTTTACCGCCTTCATGAAACCTCATTAGTGATAAAGTCACTCCGTTATGTAAAATGTTACCATCGCACGCCAATATCGCACACAAATTACTTTCGACATGGCAAAGTTTCTAGAGTTTTACGTTCATTATAAAACAAATGAAAAGTTCATAGATGAAATATCTGTGTGAAGAGATGAATTAGTAAAAAAATCGTACGAGTCCCAGTATAAAGATTACGCAAATTTTTTTCTCATGTCGATATTAGTATGTACTTTCGAACTGATGCTGCGAAGTAATCTTCTCATAAAATTTTATCGAAGCGTTTCTTGCATAATTATGTGATCGGATTATTACTCCGGTCATTTTGAACTCGTGAATTTATATGGTGGTAAACATTCTAAGGAATCCAAAATATGCTGTTACTGATGAATCCAAGTGCACGGAAAACCTTGGTTGACAACTGTATTTCCCCCAACCTTCTGTTTATCTTTTACCATAAACACATCTTGTGGTGGTAAAAGGCCTTCGATCATTTCAGCTTTGTAATGTTTGCGTCACTGAGTCCTGTATTTCCGAATGTCTATTAGCCTCTTGACGGAAGATGACTATGCAGTTAATGACACTAAAAGCGCATGTCTTTGACCACGTCTTCGAGTAAAACTACTTAATCGAGATGTTTTGAAAACTACCACCAAAATGGCGGTATGTATATTTTACCAGGAGGTAGAATAAAAACCAGAGACTACCTGTCTACAGAATGGACGCTATTTTTATTCAGAAAAATATGAATTTTTCATGAAATCTGAAAATAGCTATTCAGCTTAATGACCTCTGTTATTATTTGTGGTTACTTTTGCCTTCCCTAACGACTGCACATACTTCAAACTAATTGGTTTAATAAAATTGACCGACATAAACACAGTCGTTGCCTCTAAGACGAGCCTTTCCATGAAATTTGTTTTTCCTTTATTATTAGGATCCCGCTTACAGCAATGTCAGGGACGAGATTTTCACATCAGGTAGGCTATTGTACCTTTGTTTGACTTACAATGGGGCTAACGAGTCTGGAAAGGTTCGTTAGATCCCTTGCTGATTACTTCAACGTATGTCCAATTTAGTTTGTGAGCGAAACAATAGAAACATGTAGGATGAAAATGCATTATAACAGCCTAGAGCTTCTTAAACATATTTTCAGGAGTAAATCATCATAGAAAAGTAGGAATGTAGGCGTTGCCATCATTTCTTACTGATGACGGTTGCACCACCGATTGTGCAAAGGTATAGATGAATGGCTTCGTATCTACGCTAGTCGCTTCCGAAAGGCCACCTTCTAAGCTCTCTGTCAAGTACAGTGGCGGATCCAGACACTTAGTTAAGGGTTGGGGGGGGGCTTTTTGTTTGTGTGTGTACACTTGCCGCTTTTTCTTCTCTCGGCGTATATATTTTTACCCAAATAAATGGGGGGGGAGGCTTTCTAAACCATCTCTAGGTCCGCCACTGATATTGTCGGTATGACCCGTACGGTTTCAAATAGAGCTGAATGTCTTCAAGTTTTTTACTCTGTAATCTCCAGAGGTCACAACCTCGTTCCCAGGGTCTCTCATCTTCCCGTCCCCCGGAGCGTGCTCGCTCCAGGGGGCGGGAAGATGAGAGACCCTGGGAACCAGATTGCAGAGGTCACTTCTCTGTACTGCGACCATTAAAATAATTCGTTAGCGTGTATAACTCTGCATCAACTATACCATTTGCTGCTAATCATATTCCGCCACGAGATTATGACACCTGATCATGGGTTAGTTCACTCATCCTCTATACCTGTATCTTTTTCTGAGCAAAATGGCGAGCGATCGCGCCAAGATTTTGCACCGCTCTAGGATCCGGCGAAAACATTCTGACTCATCTCGTTCCTCTGTTCTGTCTTCCTCTTCCCATCACTTTTCATGTTTTTCTCTACACCGTGTGCGCTACGTTTGCCTTTTTCCCTTTGTGCCCTTCACTGTGAATCCTTACTTGTACTCCCCTGCCGGGCTGGTCCCGAGAGACCGATTATCCTTTATTAGAAGTATCCTCCACTGATGGCTCACTTATAGATTTCCTCTGCCTATTATCAAGTTCATGGCTTATATCAACTTCCTATGTGCTGATGCTACCCAAGCAGAATCATCATAATGATTACCGCACACTTTATTTGAGATTAAAGGCGCAGGAAGTGTGCTTTTGAAAAATCTTCTTGTGTTCTCGTTTCTGTTTACTCCGTTTTATTTTACCTTGGTGTCTATTACACAAAAATAAAGTTCTTAATTCGATGGTAATTTTGCACTACCATATTTAGAACGTTTCCAATGTTAAGATGAACTACTCATAATCTTACGATTTTTATCCAAGGTATCGAAGAAGACCTGGAACTGCAACCCAAACCACCCGTGACACTGAAGAAGTCAAGTCTGGAGGATGTATATGATGTCCATGCGGAAATTGGAAAGTAAGAAACAGTGTTCTCATAGGAAAATGTTATCACTTGATAACATTAAGCGGGAACAGTAAAAGTTTTTCCTTTTGTACATCGGTAAAAGACTTTCCTTCTAAGTGACATTATCCACTCAAAGGAGCACTTTTCATTCAAAAGGCAGAACTGGGAAATACCCAGCGATGGACTAGTTTGCCACCCCGAGTATCTTGAAGATTCATTTCTGTAACCAAAAAAATCATTTTCCGACGTGGTGGTGATTAGGTAAATGTGTAACATCTTGTTTCTCCTCGAACAGAGGGAAGTTTGGTGTGGTGAAGAAAGTCACAGAACGTTCCTCGAAGACCACGTTCGCGGCCAAACACATTCGGCTCAGCTCAGCTGGTAGTGGTTCATCGCGAGACGATATCATGCGTGAAATTGATATAATGAACAAGCTACACCATAAGAGGCTTGTGGGATTGGTTGATGCATTTGATACGTCCACGAATATCGTCATGATCATGGAATTGTGAGTATCAAAACAGGGCTGGATTAAGATAACTATACAACACTTACAATTTCCATAATTTCCATTAGGGAATCCTTAAAACTAGCTTAAAAAAAAAGAAAATATGGAAAGAATGTGGTACATCGGGAGGAGAAAAGTGAACTGATATGATTAATTCACGAATAGATTAAAATGATGGCTATCTTTTTCCCTCTATTTCTTCCTATTTTGAGGAGCTGGTAACAGGATTTTGGAACGCCCTGTGAAAGCTTCCTTGCTCAACATTTTTTTTTTTGATTTGCACCTTCAGTCTCCTTCTCAAAATTGATTCAGTTAGAACTTCAATCAGCAGGGTTTAATTAAAGAGTAATTTTAAGATTTAACTTAAGATTAATTGAAGTCCCAAGGTATATCTTATGATAATTTTAGTTTTTATTTTTTTTTAGTGTGTCTGGAGGTGAGTTATTTGAACGAGTGGCGGATGCCGATTGTCTGACAGAGAGAGAAGCTTCCTTTTACATGTACCAATTACTGCAGGGTCTGCAATACATGCACACGAAGAATATTGTGCATCTAGATCTAAAGGTAGGAAATATCTTGAGGTAAAGCTTAAAAAGGAAAAACGTCCTGACCAGAAGATAAAAACGGTCCCACCTTCCTTCTACTTGCTAACGCAGAAGGAAATGTTACCAAGTAACCTATAGATACTACCACTTATTTCTTCCCCATACTAACCTATATGTACCATTACTTAAATAAAAGTTAATTTGAATCAGTGTATACAGATATCAAATTTGTACTGTAAAAGATAAATTGTGTCAAAAACTAAGTAGTTTGAGATGCACGAGCCATGAGTTTCCAATAGTGACGAGGAGCTGATTTTAAGGGTGCCAGAAGATCCAACTGAACGAAGAGCTACCTCAGTTTTGTACTAATAAACAATGTGAGGGCAAATGCTTCCAAAACTTCCTTGTTTTTCTTTTTTGCCGCAGCCTGAAAATATCGTCTGCGTCAGCAAGGATAGTTGGGACATCAAACTTATCGACTTTGGCTTAGCACAGGAGCTCGTGCCAGGGGTCCGAATGACTGCACTCAAGGGAACCCCTGAGTTCATGGGTAAGTTTTCTCCACCATGTCCCTTTACAACTCACACATCCTACCGAATAACACCAATCAAAGTTATTCGAGAACAGCACCTTTCTTTCCAGTCATCCTTATTTTTGTTTCTGTTTAGTTCCCTACCTGCTTATGTTTGTATTTTGCTTAAATTTTTGCTAGTTTCTGTTTGCTTCTTCAATTGTTTTTTTATTTAATGTTTTTCTTTTTTCATTAGCCCCTGAAGCAGTCAATTTTGAGCCCATTTCATTGGCTACTGATATGTGGTATGTAATTAAACTTATCTTAAGTGATCACTCACGCCTCGTCGTATTAAGGGAAGAGGCCATAAGTTTCCATTATTTCCTTGGTTAAAATAAAGGGAAATTAATCAATGTGACCAATTATCACAGTGAATGCAGTGTAGTTATGCACTACAGCAAAAATGAAGCAAGTCACTAAAATTCAGAAAAAGGGGAACGTTTACTTAAGAGTGCGAATACCAGAAAAGAAAATCTAGAAAAGATTCGCGCCTAGTCCAGGAATATTATTCAGGATCACTTGCTTGTCGTTATGGAGACTTTGGTTATTTAGCGACTTCGATCCTGGGCCAGAGATGGAAACCACTGGAAGGTACTTTTAAAATTAAGAGTACAAGTTTTACGAGTATCCAATAGTCTTTCTGGTAAGACTACTCCCTATTTTTCATAAAAAGTAATGAAGTTCTTTGTATTATGTTTTAGGAGCGTTGGTGTTATAGCTTACATCCTGTGAGTATCTCGTAATATGAAGTTTTTTGTAGGTGATTTTGCGGCTTTATATAGATATAACTGGTGCACTAGGGTATTGAAGGTCTTCTTCACAAACGGCTTGTTCTTCAAGAAGAGTGGTCTAAATTTCGTTTGTTCATCATTTGCGACCCATGTTTTAATCTTGTTTATCTTTTGTCATCGCTGTTTTTTTGCTTATTATTACGTCATTGCATTCTTAACTAAAACTCTTGTTTCGACGCAGAGAAAGATTCAAAATAGCATGTTTTCGTGAGTCCCTTCGTTATCTGTTTAAGAAATTGGGTCGTTCATTTTCCCGAAAAAGAAGAAAACGCAAAACAAAACAAAAAGGACATTAGCCAGGAACATAAAAGTGCTGCGAACAGTAATGCAATTTGTGTTTGGCAACGCCAGTTAGGTTAACCAAGACCCTATTTCAAACCCATATTGCGGTTATGCGAATCTACAGCAAAATTGATATTTTGATTTTATTTAGTCTAAGTGGGTTGTCACCTTTTCTGGGAGAAGATAACAATGAAACCCTAGCCAATGTGACTGCTGTGGAGTGGGACTTTGAAGATGAGAGCTTTGACGTCATCTCCGACGAAGCTAAAAATTTTATAGCTCAACTATTGGTAAAAAGCAACAGGTATGTTTAGTTACAAATTTATTACGTCTCTCAATAGCTTGACATTCAAGTCTCTATAGAGGTTTTGCACAGCAGCCATGTTGGATGGCAGGAACAATGAATATATTTTGCATACGAAAGAATTTTTTCCCATGGGTAAAATAATCTATTGTTCCTACCATCCAACATGGCTGCTGTGCAAAACCTCTATACGAGCTCTCATAAAGCACCGATTAAAAAACACTTCACTATCTTCCAAAGTACTTTCGTTTTATTCAGAACAAGCTTAGCTTTGTGAACCTTAATTATCTGGCTGGTCAAGATTCAATGCAAGGCGTGACAATTGTGGACGTCATCATTTCCTGAACAGTTTAATTTTTCTACCTATGCAGCACAACATTATCCATGTTACTTATCTATTCACTATTTTGAAACTTCAGAAAAAGGAACACAGTCAAACATAGTCTGGAGCATGAATGGATGAAGGTAACTGATGAATTTTACAAGCAGTTTTAAAAATTAATGAGCCATCGAATAAAATTCTGCATAATCATCTTTTTGATGTTGGAATCAGCAGCGGTGTGTTTTAACCCCTTCAACTTCCTGTTCAAAATTAATGATTCTCCTGTGGGAATTCCGTACGTTTCCTCGTACGATGTTTAGTAAACTCATTGTTGAATCAAATGACCACCTAAAGCTGATTTTTTTATTTCAATTTCACCCTCTTGTTTGACAATGCAAGTGGCATAATAAGTTGTTTCATGATCGCAGCTGAACGTAAAATGGTTTAAAAGGCAGAGTTCAATCCGCGGTGGTCCTTAAGAGCAAAAAGATTGTACCGTCCATATATAGCCCAAAGTTGGTTTATTTTCAAACTGCTAAGTGATTAGTAGAGTAAAAATAAATAAATAAATGAAATACAAGTGAAGACAATTGTAGCTAAGAGCGGTTTAATCAATGCATAAAAGTGTAGATCATGAATCTCCCGTGATGATCAATGACTGACTGATTGATTAACTTATTGATTATATGTTTCATTTTCCTTATGTTTCATTTTCCTTATTTCAGAAAAGTGCATCAGCAAATGCTGTCAAAATAGACACCAAGAAGCTAAAACAGTTTTTAGCAAAACGAAGGTGGCAGGTGAGAGACTGGTAGACGCTCCCTAACGTTCTAGATGACATTGTTACAGAAGCTTTAGGTCAACAAACCATATTATCTTTTGCACTTCACTCGAGTCGGTGCTGTTTTGCTCGGGTAGATAAAGAACATGAAACCATCCCCACTCAGTCCACAGTTTTCGTGTTCAGTGGCTGAACAAACGTCTCACAAAACATCTCAAAATTCTGTTTTTGTCCTTGGATTAAAATTTGTTTTATTTTTATTATGTTGCTCTATTCTTTTCACATTGTAATAACCATGAAATATTAATCAAGCAATAAATGAATGATTACTAACATTGATGATTTGACGTGATTTGCTAACTCTTAACAACTAATAATAATCAATAATTTGAAATCAATACTGCTAATTAGATACTTGACAATGAATGTTACTAAATTTAATCGATTATCTAAAGCACGTTTCTTTGATTAAAATGTACAGGTTCATTTTTATAACATTCATCTCTCAGTTAATAACTCACCCATAACAACTCCGTTCTCGACGTCTGAAAATAGTACTATGATGAAAGTCCAAAATTTTTGGCCACACATGCACAATATGGTAATTCAAAGCAACAGCATTCGTCTAAATTAAACTAACTGGCACAGTACTTATGTGGTAAACATGGGCACTCGCAACCCACATCACGTCAATGAAATCTATACATGTACTCACAGATTCCCTTCTTAAGCGAAAGTGCCAGTCATTCAAAGATGCTGACTGAGGATGAAATCCTCGAGGTTAGTCGAATGTGGAATCGTCAAATGTCGTCATGGTAACAGACGTGTTGGCTGCCCGTGTGTTTGCACTGGTTCTACTATGTACCGTCTATTTATCAGAGCTTCTATGTCTAAAGTTTGCAGTAGGATAAAAAAAATCCTACAAAGTCTGCTTTATTTCTGTGACATGATTTCGCTCTTACATAGGTTGACTTTCTTTTCCACTGCTTACTTTTACGGAAGGATTCTTTGTAGTGGTAACGTTRGGACTATTTTAACTAATGGCTTGAAAAGGGAGGCGAGAAAATTGATCAGAATTTACATCAGGGCCATGTTCTGCCTCCCTAAAACTTTTGTTTGCATCTTCAGAACACTGAAAAATTTACTTTCAGAGGCTCTGGCGATTCAGTTCTGTTTATGGCTCCATGGATAAAGTGAATTTTGTTATGAGTAATTTTTTCCTGTAAGCAATTTGTGAGAATTACTGACCTATGTAGGCTTGGAATTTTTAATCCAAAAGCACTCCCAACATGGGTCTCGAATGTCAAGTAACTTTGATTTGTTTTCCTTTTAGAAATCTGTGAACGCACTAAAAGCAGTCCGTCGATTATCCACATTGTCATCTCTCATGAAAATTAAAAATCGTCCTTCGATTGCGCCGTCGTTACCAACTCTTCTTTCCTCCAAGGAGGATGTTGAAGATACAACTGGCAATGATGGAATTCGTGAAGAAAAAGGTGAAGATGAAGCTGGCGAAACTACCAACGAAGAATATGTATCAAAAGAGGAGGCTCACGAGGAAAAGCCGAAAGGCAAGTGTATGAGAAATCTAGCACTTGATAAACAAAATAAGTGGACTAATTTAACCTTTTGCCGGCTTATTGACCAACGGACTAACGACGAGCGAGTTAAATGACTAACTAGTTTAATCAACCGTGGAATTACTAATCACTGATTTACTGGCTTGAGAAGTGTTTGTGAGACTAACTGACTGTCTGATTGACTGACAACTCCGTGAGCGGCTAAACGAGCGAGTGTGCTAGTGGGCGAGCGAATGAGTGATCGTGAAGAGGTGAACGAGGAAATGAATGCTTGCCTTCGTGCGTGCCTTCGTGCGTGCTCCGTCATTCTGTGAGTGATTCAGATGGTGAGTGAGTGGGTGAGTAAGCGAGTCAAAGTTGACTGACCATGTAGCTTACCGAAAACCAAAACTGTTTCTTGAGTAAGTGAAGGACTGATTGACTGACTTGATAAGAAACTTACTACGTATGATGCACGATCCTCGCAGTAGAGCTTACTGATAGGCTCACAAATAAACTAACATGTCGCTGACAAGGCTTGGATTTGATTTAATTTGATTGGAAGTTTAAAGTTTACTGTAGAAAATAAGTTTATTGGTTGGATTTAGATCAACCTGTTGACTTGTGAATGGATTAATAGCCCTTATCGCATTTACGCCTACTGTACGAGAGCTTAGCGGACTTTGAAGTTTCGAAACGAGGCTATCGGGTCACACAGGTAAAACTTTCAAGTAAAATTGAAGCAAATGGCTACGTTTGGAGGCATTTTTATTCATTTTATTAAGGATACAGCATGTTCTCGTCATGGTTAGACATTGTATTGCGTACGGGTGCAACAGTCTATTCAGTGAATCGGCAACTGACGAGATCCACAAGATTAGGATCGAAACCGCGGTCTTGCCAAACACGTTCAACTATCAAACTAGAGACGAACAAAACGCGCATAAAAAACCTCTCAAATAAAGAACTTATAAACGACCAGATTAATTTACTGGTAAAAAGGCCTAAATTCATTCCAGCACCCGCTACAAAAGAAAAACAGATCAGACAACAACTATTGTGTGACTTTGATCAGTTCGCCAGGAGAATGCGTCTGATTTACATATTCCGAGGGGAGGACAAAAAACCCATCTCTACCACGTCAAATTTACAAGGATACCACCAATACAAAAATCAGTAGCCCTTGAAAGCTATTTAGAAGAGGTTAAAAGTGACTTTTCAGAAATATAAATTACAAAGCCAAAAGATAATTTGCTTCCGGCCGAACGCAAGGCGCTGAGGGCCTTGAAACGTGACTCTGATTTAAACCTCAAAAAGGCCGACAAAGGAACAACAACCGTAGTCATGAACAAACGCGACA